AAATAAAACAACAAATGAAGAACAATTCGAGGAAAAGAAAAAAGTATTTGCTTTAACCCCATTTTTAACTTAGAGGTAAAATGTAAAATAGGGAAGATATTTTTCTTACTAAACATTTCCCCAAAAATTCAGAATTACATAAAATATTTAATATAAACACAGTTAAATTAATCTATAACTCTACTAGTAATTTAGAAACAATAATAAAAGACAAAACACGAGAAATGTAAAAACTAACATGCAGCAAAATATAGTTAACACTAGTGAATTATGCAACTGTAGAAATAAAAATAGATGTCCATTAAATGGAGTTTGCAAAACCGAAGCAGTAATTTATAAAGCAAAAGTAATAGATACAAATGGCCAGAACAAAACATATATAGGATGTACTGAAGGTAGTTTCAAAGGAAGATGGTATAATTACAGGTCGTCATTCAAGATGGAAAGTGTTAGGAACTCCATCAAATTAGCGAACCATATGTGGTAATTAAGAGAAAAAAACAAAAACAGCAACAACAAAAAAAAGATCCAACTATAAACTGGAAAATTAAAAAAAAAAAAGCGAAACCTTACAACAACCATAATAACATCTGCAACCTCTGCCAACAAGAAAAGTTAGCGATAATAACGTTCCCGGATCCCAAAAACCTTTTCAATCAAAGGTCCGAGATTATGAGCCGTTGCATTCATACAAAAATTATTTTAATTCCATATGAGGCTGGATAAAAAAATATGTACATTTCAATTAACCCCCACCGATATATATGTATATATATACAATACCCTTTATTTCCTAATCCTCCTTCTTTTCCGTCTTCTTCGCATCCTCCACTTCCATTCCCATCAAAAACAACGTCGTAAGTTTATTTATGTTTAAAAGTAATAAAACGTTCTTTAAATAATATTTAAAAAAATAAAGCATTGGGAAATCAATTGATACAAACTGCCTGACGATACCGAAAGGTTGAAACCAAAGTAGCGGAATCGACTGATCGAAATTTTGAAATTTAAAATTTTTATTTTTCACATGTATTGAACACCGTGTTTCCTGGTCCAATCCAACTTTGACCATTAACCATTAACTATTTCAGTATTATATATATATATATATATATATATATATATATATATATATATATATATATATATATTAATTGTAGGATGTAAATTTTATAGATTCAAGAGATTTCAATACTATACGCTAAGAATATAGTATATGACAGGCGCCTAAATATATTTGTGTATATATATATATATATATATATATATATATATATATATATATATATATATATATATATAGATAGATATTTACATATTTACATACACAGACACACGCATACATACAAATATATAAATATGTAGATAGATACGTTATATATAAAGAAAGGTTTAAAAATTTAGATTTAAATGAAAAAACTGAAATTGAAAAATATTTTAAATCAATGTTTTAAATTTTATACTCTTTGTATACTTATATATCTATCTATCTGAAGTCTATTTCTAATGAAGATTCTTTCAGGAACAGATATATTTAATAACTAATATAATAATAATAATATATATATATATGTATGTATGTATGTATATGTGGCTATATAGATACAAATAAAGGCCAATATATTCATACGTATCCAAATGCTAAATTCATTAATCATATCGGATCTTGAAAACACTTCATTAAAGACAGACGCCCCATTGCACCGAGCGGATTGCAGAAACTATATAAGCCGCTGAGCCACCATCTGGCATTGAACGGAGGAGTGAAGTCAACGTGAAATACATCGAAATGGCGTCTGTATTGGCATCACACTGGGGTCACAAACCCATGACCCACAATGCCGCCTCTTTTTTCCTTCTCACATCAAGTTCCCAACAGTTTTCATTTTGTTTCTCTTTCTCTTTTTGTCTCTATGTTTGTCTTCTGGTAAACACACTCTCTGTGTCCAGCAGTTTCCGTTTGGAAGATATATCCGACGCAAATCGGATGTCAGGTTGTGAGTGGTCCCTGTTCTACAAGGTGGAAGGTTCCGGAATTTGTCGCAGCCACCACGAAGGGGTCGAAGGAATTCTTCAAACATAGCGTTGTTCCTTTTACTAATAAACTCTCTCGACTGACCCTATTACCGTTGTCTTCACGAACGACTGGCTTGTCAAAGATGCTCAGACCACTAGATTTTAAATGTTCGTGTGTGAAGTCACTGTTTTTCATATGGGTAATAGTATTCATTTCAATGTGTGTAAATTTATTAATGCGGATTTTTAAAAATAAAGAGCCTCTGTGTGTGTATGTGTGGTGTGTGTAAGTGTGGTGTGTGTTAGAAACAGATTTTGATTACGTTTTGATCTATACATTGTAAAATGATGGACATAAAGATTCTTAGATTTTCATTTAAATTAGTTCTTCTAATGATGTTATTACCTAAATAGAATTACAAAGAACAAACTCCAGTGCCTTCCATGATGAATTTCATCTTAACATCTAGAAACTGATTAAAGAACTGAAAAGGATTTATTATAATATAAGTAGACATAATATGCTTATATTATTCAATGAAACATGTTTGACTGAAGATATGCTGCCTGTATACATACATACATACATACACACACATATATATATATATATATATATATATATATATATATATATATATATATATATATATATATATACACAAGTGAACATTGAAGTTAACACTTCAAGACACACTGTTTCAGGCCTGATGATTGCGTTTAGCATGAAACAGTCTGTGGCCCCTGAGTATTGACTTCAATGTTCACTTTTATATTTGCATACGCTCTATCTCTGATATTGACCACATTATCCCAAAAATATAGCATACCTTAAAACTATATTTATTCATATATATATGATATATATATATATGTATAGTCATCCACAGACAGACTGTTTCACTGTATCACAGCTCATCAATGTGACTAGAACGCGATTGCTTCAAGCCGATTTTGAAACATCAGTTGGAGTCTATCACCCTTACGCTGTCAGCGCACGCAACGGAGAAGGGGAATTTTTAACGCATTATATACAAGATATAAGTATTACTGGCTACCAGAGTACTCAATTCATAGCGAAGAGCTTTTAGCGTTAATTAGCAAGCAGTCGACAAATCCCTTTTCTTCCAAAGTGCTCAAGGGCTGCTGAAAAGTTCTATTTGTCGCACTTCTTAAAATCTAACCAAATGTCTTAACATCAGATTTATTTTTGGAAGAACTCGGTTGGACTGAGAAATTTTCAGCACTCCTGATATATAGGTTAGATGTATGTATTTGTGTACTCTCACAGATTTTACCAGTATGCGTTTGTAGACAGTAAAGTAAAATAAGTCAGATGTAAATTACTTTCTGACAATAAGTTGCAAGGTCATAACCCTAACCCTAGTGTTTCGGGGAATTTCAATATAACTTGTATTTGATGCTCGTGGGCAAATATTTGGTTAGTCTGAATGTAGGACCTTTAGTCTCCTATTCGTTTTCTTTCTGCATATGCCCTGTGAACTAATGTTACTAAACCGTTACTAAAAACAGTTTTTTATTTTATTTTTAAAGATGGTAGCTGATGATTTCAATTCTGCTTGACTTTTGAGCAATGAACGATTTCTGCTATATCTAAATTGCCTATATGAATGCATACAGCCTTTTGTTACTACAGACGGAGGCAATAAGAGGGACTTTCATTCACAAACAAAATGATATTTGCTGAAAAAGACAAAGAAAACAAAAGGCAATGACTTCTTCCGTTTCGTGTCAGTGTTTAATTATATTTGCGCGGTGGGTCTTCCATATTTATTCCACAGAAGAGATTTGATCTAACACATCCAGAAATGTCATTTCAAGTCTCCTACTGCCTTTTCCTTCCATGGCTTTATAGGGCAATGAAATCAGCCGGACTACACATGCGCACATTAGCCATTGATCCGGGCCTTTTTATTGGTTCTTTATAGTTCCACCCACTTCGTAAAGGAAGGAAGGACGCACAAAGTTTTCTGTCCCTTGGAAAAGATTTTTATGACTCTAAGAGTCAGGTTTTTAGGCCTGAAATGCTACATTAAGCAAGAGGGGTGAAGTTAGCAAATAGAAAAAAAAAAAGACCTTACCAGATGATCGATATTGCACAAGTAGCCATATTGGATAAAGTTACAACTAATTTGAAAAACGCAACTTATTGTTGCAGTAAAGATCTGTAAAATTCAAGTGAACAACATGTTTAGCATTAAAAAAATATTGCATGCAATTATATCTGACTGTATTCTTTTATTTCTATGAATTATCTTACATTTCGTTATTTTTAATTAGAAACAATTAGTGAATTAATCCAAAGCAAGCAATACAATGAGTAGAAAGCCTTGTCAAAAAACATTCCGGCAAAACCGTGTGTTATTTATCTCCACGAATGATAATCTATCACTTAGTCTTATGTCATTATCATTTTAACTAACCTACAAATATTTGATTCTCTCAGTAATTTCTCAGTCAATATATTGGTAAGATTATCCTGAGAAAAGAGTCGTTGGGACAAGAAAAGAGTTTTTTTTTCTCCTTTGCGACTTTTGGAATTCAGTTTAACGAATCGCTGGCTTCCAACTGTGAGCGTTCGTCGTTTTACTGAAGTATTTTATTTCATTGTTTTATTCTCATTCTTGAAATAAAAGTTGTAAATTACTTGGCATAGAAATTAATAGAACGATAAAGATGAAAACCGGTAGTTCCGTTACTCCTTAAGCCGATTAGTTCAAATAAAATAAGAAGATTTTTTTTATTGTCGGATTGAAGTAAGAGTCACAAGTGAAAATTTTATTTCTATATTTATTTGTCACATTTTTCATATTCTCTTCGTTATTTTGAATTAACTGTTATGCTAAAAGTTCAACTGAGAATACACAAGTACTTAGTAAAGGTTAATGATAATGTTTGGAGTTCTTAATCCAGACAGCACAGAGTAACCTTGCTGGTGGTCTATACCATATAAACCACAGAGCCTAAATGTGAAGTCTGTTTCTTCTGGGTGAATAGAAAGAGGTGCGTTCATCGAATGGATTGATTCTTAGTTCAGTTTCAACACTGAGACGTTCGTTGTTCTTGCTGGGCAAGGAAAGAAATAGAAAATGGAGGATGAAAAAAGAAATATGTCGGTGAAAAAGAAAAGTAATTGAGAGTGAGAGGGGGAGATAGATAGAAAAAGAGATAGATAGATAGATAGATAGATAGAGAGAGAGAGAGAGAGAGAGAGAGAGAGAGAGAGAGGGAAAGATAAGGGAATGACCAAAAAAGTGAGTGGGAGGGAAAAAAAGCAAAAGATGAAAATAAGAAAAGAAACAAAAAGAAAAAAAGTCGACAACGAAAAACAGAGAAGCGGAAATGACGGGAAGGTAGTATAGACTAGAAAAAATATATAAAAAGAAAATAAAAAGAGAACGAAAAAGAAACATTAAGAGAGAGAGAGAGCTAAAGGGAGTCATAAAAGCGACGAAAGAGAGGGAGAATAATATTCTGGGAAAGAGAGCCAAACCACCCCCGTGTTGGTCGGCTGCATGGGGAAGGAAACCTTCAAGTCGAGAGTATCTATTTATGAAAATGCGAACTTTATGAAAATCGATGTATTTGGTTTTATCCATCATCGATTCAGGCCACCAGAGCAGGTGGAGGAGGTGTAGAGATTGAAGTAGGGGTTGGCTGTGAGATTCTACAAACGAATCAACAACACCGTCGTCGGGGTGGAGTGAGGACTTTTAAGATTCGTAACGTTCACCATCGGAAATTAACGGTAGAAATCTGCGAAGTCAGTGCTTTTTCAAAAGGGGTGGGTGATGAAGAGTTACGGGTGTAAATGGGTTGTGGGGACGGGACGTGAGTACGAAGGTTTTAAAGACAGAATGCGGCGAATCTGTTTAGCAACGAGTGAGGGCTGAGAATAAACTGACATTTATATAAGGATATGAGGGTGAGTAAATTAGCTTAGTGGTAATAATACAGGCGAGTAGCATCTTTGAAACAGCTTCTGATAAAACAATGTTACAACTATTTTTTTAAGGAATGTATGGACTCCAAAACTGCACTCGATGAAAACGATATTCTGAAACAAATAAAATATAGTAGAAACTTATGAAAACAAACAAAAGTAAATCATTATAATCTTTATTATATCGTGTTTCTACCCACCTCTCTCTCCCCTTCTCTCTATCTTCGCCATCTCTCTCTGTATATATATATATATGTATATATATATATATATATATAAATTAATTGCGTGTACGCGTATGTGTGTTTTGCAGTTGGCAAAAACCTGTCAACCATGGTATATCTGGAAGATAAGGTTTTTAAATGGAAGCAGTCGTTGTAATTAGAATTTTCGATATCAAGAAATTGCGAAATAATATTAAATGTTCAGCTAATTTTCTCTGAGTTTTAGGGAGATTATATCCACTCTTCAGGTTACTTGATTATAAAATTAAATTGCTGAATTCAGTTTTACAACTAAATCTGATTGACCAGTGGATGATCCAGGAAAGTTACATTCAGGACCAGTGATAAGTGAACATTTACTTTTGTTTATTACTATTTATGTTCATATGTATATTCATTGCTAAGTCTGTTTATATCTACTCTCTCTCTCTTTGTTTCAGTTTTTTCATATCTATCTATCTATCTATCTATCTATCTATCTATCTATCTATCTATGTCTTGCATGATGGATGAATTGGGTACACATTTTACCACAAGTTTTCAGTTTTCGATTGCAGTTAAAAATCATTTTCTTACATGATCATATCAAAAGGATCGGTATATGCCAACCTTGAAGATTAGCGCACCACAATCTTTCTGCTTATATGCTAGACATTATAATCATCTATATTTGTTCAAATAGGTTCATGTTGATGTTCTTAGATTAAAATCACTTTCATATTTATATAGATTCTACGTGCGTGCGCACAAACACACACTACATGCGTACACATATTAACAGATATTTGTTAGAAAGTTAAAAAATAGAACTGCGACAAATATTATTAATTATATTGGGTAATCTTCGAATTCGTTCTGTTTTTGTCCTTAGGATAAGGATTGTTTAGTATATTAAAAAGATCGCTTCTGATTGTATTAAGTGGTAAATTATTGCCTATTGATTTTAACATTCAAGATGGAAGAAAGAAACAGTTACCGTATAACTTGCTTTTTATATCTTTAAACGAAGTTAAAAATACGATTGAAAGCCATGATAAATGTTCGCATTTTATGGAGACGATAATGAATATTGGCGCGTAAAGTAATAATCAATGAGCAAAGTTCAAATTGTGAGCTAATCTCTCGCTGATACTTTCACACAATGGCCTTTGCAAAGGCATAAATCCATCTCCACACACGCTATTGGTTAAATAGCAGAGTAGACTGGACTGTCTAGTTTTGCGTGGCAACCAGTCTAAATGTCTAAAACTATGAATTCTTAAGCACGGGAACACAACGGAAAGCGACTTCGCTCTCTTTGCTCTCAAAAAATATAGACATATAGACACACACACACACACACACACACACACACACACATATATATATATATATATATATATATATATATATATATATATATATATATATATATATATAGATATGGGAAAAATGATATATATAAATTTTTTATATATCAAGAACAATTTTAGGGTAAGTTATCAGAAAATGAAACGATTTTTTCGTATGACGCCATTCGTCCTTGAGGACTTCATTGGATTAGAGTGATATTTACTTTGATGTGATTACACATGAGTATGAAGGAGAGCGGACACTGAAATAAAAATCCACTTATACCTTTCATAGATTTTAGTATAAATAATAAACGGCAGACGAGACTTGATTTTTCTTTTACTTGGCGGGAAGCCAGCCGCTGCATGACAGCGGCTGTACCAAATGCAGCGTTGGCAGAAAAGTTACCTCGCTTCCCGCTGTTGATTTATCAATTGAGAATGATATGCGATCAAATGAAGATTTGAAAAACTTTACAAGATATGAGAAATAACCAACATGCTCAGAATATTCAAATCAATCTTGGATATGATAGTTGCGTTGATGTGTGGCTTCAACATAGATTAAGAGGAATAAACCTATTCGATAACGATTTCTTTCTTTTTTTTTTAAACAAATTACGACGGGCGATGGAAAATGGATATTTTACGACAGTGTATATAACGCCAGAAATCGTAAGGCAAAGAAAATGAACTATACTAAATACTCAGTGTTCATCTTAAGAAGGTGGTGGGTTATTAGTGGGATTGGAGTAAAAGTCCTTTAATATTAAATCCTTCCGGATATGGAAACAATTGTTTCGAATATCTATAGACTACAATTAGACCAACTGAAGGCAGCAATCGAGGAAAAGCATGCGAAATGAATGATTTGAAAGGGCGTAAGATTCCACTAGAATGACCATAGACTGAATGGTTTTTTGGTGATAAGGAAAAATATTTGCACGACTTGATTGGTAAATGTTCACTTGTTCTTCAGATTAGCCACTACTTCAACTTTGAGTTACGATTCGTTTTGGGGTCTTAATACTGAGATAGATAGATAGATAGATAGATAGATAGATAGATAGATAGATAGATAGATAGATAGATATAAGGATTAAGTTATAAAGTTGTTTCAAAGTTAGTAGTAAAGTTGGTAAAACAGAGAGTTAAACATATTGTTTAATAAAGTTATCATAATAAATATGATAAAAATAAACTTATTTTATTTAATAATCCAAACGAACATTTTACAATGTGAAATAAATAAGAAATCGCTGAAGAATGAAAGTTTTACAAAAGCAAATTGCAAAAGAAGAATTACTTCCAACTTGCTATCTATGCTGATGACACAACCATTTATTCCCTTCTCCACAGTAAGTGTGACCGGATCGATAGGGTCAAATTGGCGGCTGATCTAAAAATTTGACCTGCAGTAAGTTGTGGCAAAGGATGGCTCATTAATTTTAACGTCTCCAAAACAAAACTGTACTCTATTAATCATCAGAGACGCCTTTTTGCCTTCAGTCAGCATGACTGATGCTAACTTCCAGGAGAGTGAGTTGACGCGCCTTCTCGGGCTAACATTATTAGCTGATATGGAGTGAAAAGATTATAATGAATTCATTGTTAGGGCCTTCTACTAAGAAAGTTGATTTACTGTGTTGTCTTAGACAATTTGTCGCTCCAGAATCTATCTTACATATATTTATATCTAACATTCATTCATGCTTTGAATGTTGCTGCCACATATGGTCTGGTGCTTCTGTTATATATACAGAGATTCTTGATAAAATCCAAAGATTAGCAATATTATTGGCCCAGTCACCTTCTCATCGCCGTAAAGTTGCTTCCCTGGGCCCTTTCTATAAATTCTTTCATAGTAATTGTTTGCATGAGCTCTTTGCTATCGTACCTAGACTTTAGAAACTTAAACGCAGTACTAGATTCGCGGTAAGGTCTCATCAGTTAGCATGATTTAACCGTAAGTTCCATGTTAATAGTTTCTTTTCTCACACTCCTCGCTTGCGGAACTCTCTTCAGGCTTCTTGCTTTCCAGTCAAGTTTGATCTAAAAAAAAAAAAAAAAAAGTTAACGGCAATGTCAATCGTTAATCTTCCTAATTATACTTCTATTGTTCCCCCTCCTTAATAATACTTCTGTTTTTTAATTCTTCCACACTCAGTAACCTTCAGTAACTTTCTTCAAGTTGCGAATTTTCTCAAATAGTCGTGAACGGGACTGTTTGCTGAAGGATCTGACGTTTCGTTTTAAAGGCAACAACAACGCCAACACACGCGCGTGCACACACACACACACACACACACACACACACACACACACACACACACACACACACACACAACACAAAACAAAACAATAAATCAGTTCAGACGCTGAAATTGGAGAGACAAGCGAGAAAATCCACTGTCTTCTTGATATCCATAATATTGCAGTTCTTTCCCTCTGCATCATCATTGAATTTTACACGTTTGCCTTCCTCATGACGGTGAAAGATAGCATACGGTCAATTAATTAACTTTTGCAGGTGGATGGGTCCAGAAATTTACCAGAATCTTCTTTGAAACTATTTTATTGATAGAGACATTTGCAATATATATATATATATATATATATATATATATATAGCTTTAAAGTATGCTGTAAAGTACTCAATATCAGAGATAGAGCTTATGTAAATATAAAAGTGGAGAATGAAGTCAAAGTTAAACGGTGACAATTTGTTTTATACTTCAACGCAATCTTCAGGTTTGAGACACACACACACACACAGACACACACACACACATATATATATATATATATATATATATATATATATATATATATATATATATATATATATCCAGTTGGCATGTGATGGTTAGTGTTTTCGTAGTCCTATGCTAACATCAGAGGAAGGTTATCTATGCCAGACCGTAAACTGAATTCCAGTATTTTATGCCAATTTTCGAAACATTTCAGGAAAAAAAAACTGTCTACGGCATATATATATATATATATATATATATATATATATATATATATATATGGAAACAAGCAGAAACATTATTAGAAAAGTGGTATTATGATAATTATGAAAGAATGTAACCGACAGA